CTTTGAGGAAAAAACAAACATTAAGGAAAACTGAAGGGAAGAGTTGGATTCATGCCTTCCAAAAAGTATGTGAATATAATGAACACGGCTAAAATTCGAACTCGGATCCCCGATTTCTCATTCCGAGAGAGTAACCATTAGACTAATCACAACCTCCGTCAGCCGTATGGTCCAGCACAATCATTACCTACTTCATGAAGAGCCAAATATATGCGTTGAAGCAATTCCGTGTGACTAAAACATATATATATATGCATGAATACTTGCTGCCTAAATATGACTTATATATATATATATATATATATATATATATATATATATATATATATATATATATATATATATATATATATATATATATATATATATATAATATATAAAAAAAAGAATATTAAAAATTAAAATCTTCAGACACACTGGGTTGTAGATAAATATTCTTTCGTTTTTTTATTATTATTTCATTTAGATTCCTCGACTAGTTTCGGTCAAAATGCCGATCATCGGGAGAAGAAATATTTCTGCTTGCTGGTAGCAGTAAACTTCAGAAATGAATGTCTTACTAGAGAAAATTTGTCTGTAGTTTTCATTTGTTTTTTTTGTTTTTTTATCTTTTTAACATGAATCTTTTAACATTCCTTGTGTTGGTCAAACAGTCTCTTTTAAGTTGTTACTTGAGATAAGAGCTGGATAGATACATGCTGCTCTGAATTCCCTGGTCAGTTTGACAGTTTTATTGAACCTGGAGAGGGGATGTGTCTCTGTTTAGTGTTTGTGTGTGTGTTATTTGGTTCTTAGGGAGTGAGTGAGTATGATATGTGTAAGCGTGTGTATTGCCGTGGGTGTGTGTTATCATTTGGCTCATTAGGGAGTGAGTGAGTATGATGTATGTAAGTGTGTATATTCGTGTAGGTGTATGTATAAGTGTGAGGCCTCAACACCTCCGTAAGCATGTCTGTCTTGTGTGGGTGAGTAATGTGGGTAGGTTTTGATTTGTTGAGTTATATATTAGTACAATCTATATTGTTAAATATATATATATATATATATATATATATATATATATATATATGAGGTATATTTAGGCAGCAAGTATTCATGCAAACAAGTTTGATGAAAAACAACTTCTGAAATTAACTTTACATAATTTGAGGATTATGTGGATTAGGATGAGGCCCCAAACTAAAATAGGCATGGTTCAATATGTCTGTGACACACTCCGTATAATATTTTTTTCACACGGACCCCAGCAGTGTCGAATGCACTCCTAACCTTATGGAGTCATATGGCCTCCGACTGAGAACCACACACACACACACACACACACTCTCTCTCTCTCTCTCTTCTCTCTCTCTCTCTCTCTCTATATATATATATATATATATATATATATATATATATATATTCTCGTGTAAAAGGTGAAGGGTCTCACGTGTGAAATTGAGAATTTTGGTAAATTTGATTTTCTAGCTTTAGGATCATAATTTTCCGGCTATTGCAATTTTTCTCGCAAAAAATAAAATTGTTAACTGAGATTAACTCTTTGCCCAAAGGTGAATAGATTGTTTTAATATTAACAGTTTGTACTTGATTATACAGCGAAGGAAACGGTGCTTCTGGGATGATCTTTTCTATTTCTTCTGACAAAAGATTATTTGTAGATTTTTAAACTCAATTTTTTCGTATATTTTATATTAACAACGTTGACATTGAATTTGATTTTTTATAACTCAGTAGCTACTGATTCTAATTTCTTTACATTCTTGGTAAAAAAAAAAAAAAAAAAAAAAAAAAAAAACTGCCTTATTATTTTTATTAATAGAAAACAAAGTATGTATTTATTTTTGCTAAATATATATGCGAACAATTTTTTTCCGAAACGCGAGGAGAAAAATCTATACAATTTAGTTCCCTTGAAAGAATAAGTAAATACGGAGTGTAATAGCTTTTTTTAAATAAATTTAAAAAGAAAGAGCAGGAACCGTTTCAACAGTGGTATTCCCCAGAAAAAAAAGTATATTTTATTCGTTTGGTCTTCCGTAGTGATAATCACCAATGGCTGATTTTACCGGAAATGTGCAAGTTCCCTCGGACAGATAAGGGTGCGAATTTATTTTTTACAAAATCGGATGGAAGATGAGATGAAGAGTGTTACGACAAAAGTTTTTTTTTTTTTAAAGAAATTGGAAGATAGCCGCGGTTCAAAAAGTTTGTGAATGTTTGCTTTGAAGTACTCATTTTGAGGTCTTACGCGCTTAAAGTAGCATTTCTGTCACGTTAAAACAGTTTTGTACAATCTGCTGTACTCTCGCAATACTCTTTTAATCAGGGTCAGCTCTTAATCTTGTGAAAAAATAACAAGAATTTTAATGAAGTCAAATCGTGAATATAGAAAAGCTGACATACTTTGGTGAGCGTATGTTTTGCCAAAAACACCTACACAGTATCTTTCTTTTTATATACCATGTCCTTTCAGGACGGAGGCGATCATGACTCTCCACCTCCCTCTATCCCTCGCAGCTCTCAACAAGCTCCTTCCTTCTGTTTCCTCCCCCAGACAACGTTCTCTCATCCACCTGCTCGAGCTTGTCAGATATGTCACGCGCTGCTTTCCTTTGTCTCTCTCTCCCTCTATTCGACTTGTGAGTATAAAGTTCTCCAGGCCCCCCTTCCTCATTATGTGTCCCAGAAGCTTCAGCTGCCTCATTCTGATGTTAAGTATAAGCCCTCTCCTTCTTTGTAACCTCTCTAAGACCTCATTGTTGCTCACATGCTCGGCCTATGGTATCCTTAGCATCCTTCTGTAGAACCACATCTCCGTCGCATCGAGTCTCTTCTTCATCTTTGAGGAAATCGCCCAACATTCACTGCCGTAAAGAAGAACAGACCTCACGTAAGAGCTCAGTATTCTTTTCTTTGTTACCAAAGAAATCCTATCTCGCAATACTTTTTCCCAGCTTTTGGAATGTGTCCTTGGCCATTCCTATACATCTACGGATCTCAGTGTCACACTGACCGTCCTCTGTCAAGATGCTTATCAGATATTTAAACTTCTGCATCTGCTTGATTCTAGTGTTCCCGACCTGCAAATCGCATTTCGGATTCTTCCTCTTAATGATGACCATGCATTCTGCCTTCTTGTAGTTTGTGCTTAGTCCTTTCTTCTCACTATCCGTCGATACATTCTGTAGGAGATTTTCTAACAACTCACAAAGTATACGTCTACATTTCTGAAATGAGGCATTATGTACGTTTATTTACATTATTCGGACCATTGTTTTCATCTTTGTTGCCATATTTATAACAACGTTTCGGCCGTTGTACGCTCCGGCCTCCTTCAGGCCGGAGAGTTGTATGCCTTTATCCCCTGTGCCATGTGTCCTTAAGGACACATGGCACAGTGTATAAAGGCGTTGGTTAGACCCAGTGACAGGACCCAAAGAGTTCAATACCTGGTTAAGGCAGTGGAATACTTGGAGAGGTGAATTAACAGGAGATAACTGACATCCATTAGACATGGCCCGTGGAACTAGAACAGTCTACCCCAACGAGCGAAATAAAGGGTTCAGTTCGACATTCCAGCCACCTCAAGACGGCCAGAAATGTTGTGATAAATACAACGGCCGAAATGTTGTGATAAATATGGCAACAAAGATGAGGACAATAGTCCGAATAATGTAAATAGTGTTCACACAGTATACAAATTCGATTATCTCACTGCCGACTGTGGAACGCCACGGGAGTATCGATAACTAAATGCGCACCATGGTTGGATGCCAAGTTATATGAAGACCGCGCAACTGGTTCTTGAGATATTCAAAATGGCTGGAGACTTTACAGACATTCCGTGTATATTGCACAGATTATTAGAATAGTTAGAACGCAGAATATCTTCTAGTTTCCTGAAAAAATATCTTTACTCGTCTTCTCCTAGACTTCAAACCATAATTCTCTTAACCTCCATTTCAATATGCAAATCAATTAGGCCATCTTCATGTACATGCATTCACAAATATTTATTTTATGCACTGTTGAAGAAAAGTTTATATTTAATGAAGCAAATTTTATTAAACGTAAAATGTTCAGTAGACGATTGTTATCAATGCATTGAACATAATCGATAAATTTAAATGTCTGCATTGCATTCATGGAGGCTAATAAAGATTTTGATGATCACCAGAAAGTGAGTCAAATCTTAATTGTTTCCCTGTTCGAAGCAAAAGTGTTATTATCTAGACGCGGAAAAGCCTAAAACAAAAAAAATAGTTATTCAATAACTCCCAGTTTTATAATCTCGCATTAGAACTGCACAGACTGTATATGACCACTAAAAATACCGCAACTTGTCTGGCGTATTTTTGCATTAAAATTGAAAATATGTTCACACACACACACACACACACACACACACACACACACACACACACACACACACACACACACACACACACACACACAAACGTTGAACAAGAGTGATAAGGAATTTTTTGCTTATTTTTTAGTAGTGAGGTGTTCAACATAATTATTTATGGGTTACCAGCCGCCTGTCCAGGTGACTGACGCTACACCTCTCCGATTAGGGCTCAAAACAGACGCACATAACCCAACGTGTAATCGTGCCAACCTCATTTTCAAACTAGTCGTGGAGAACACGAATGTGAGGCGCAGATTTCTCTGCAAAAAAAGGGTTTAAAAAAACATTATGAACACGGACACAGTGTACTGACCGTATTTGGAAATTCAGATCATGTCTACTTTCAACAACTTTTATACCGTCTACAATAGAACGTATACCGTATAGCAATTAAACAGTGGTTAAAAGTTTAGCCGAAAGCACTTCGAATGAATAAAGGTTTGGAAAACTTTTGCATTCATTAAGTCCAAAACAGAAGACACTTGTACGTATGCAATAAAAACATGTTGAAATAAATAAACAAAAGTAACTTGTTACTCTTGTTTAAGGAAACATGTATGAAGGAGAGATTGCAGATTAAATACACAAGTCTCTCTCTCCCTCTCTCTCTCTCTCTCTCTCTCTCCCTCTCTCTCTCTCTCTCTCCTCTCTCTCTCCCTCTCTCTCTCTCTTACTCTGACTCTCTCTCTCTCTCTCTACATACATATATATATATATATATATATATATAATTTATTAATAAGTAAAAACATCCATTAAGGTGTAAAAAATGTACTTAGTGGAGACAATAAGTTCCCATTGTTTGATGACAGAGCCAATATTTTTTATTTATAGAAAATTTCTCTCTCTCTTTCTCATTCTCTCTCTCTCTTTCTCACTCTCTCTCTCTCCATATATATATATATATATATATATATATATATATATATATATATATATGATGAAATATAGTTTTACCGTATGCTATATTTCAGGGGTAAGTATTCTCAATATCCAGGATAGAGTGTTTGTAATATATGGGTTGTGGTTGCAGAGATTATTACATAATGACAACAGTCTGTTTCTATAGTTAATCGCAATCTGCAGCCCATGTATTTTGAATGCAGCTTGAATTTATATATATATATATATATATATATATATATATATATATATATATATATATATATATTATATTTAGTCACTTGGGCTTTATTCGTAACGATGTCAGTTATTTTCAGTTTATTGTGTTAGTCTAACGGCTATTTTAAATTTTTATAACGGGTATTGATTAGAACTAATTATGCTTTAGAAACGCTTATTTTATATCGTGCTGTTTGTCTATTTTAATTCACTTTTTTATATATTAATAATTACTTCCTGTTTTTTATATTTAATCATGAATTATTTTCTGTTTATTATTAAATTTATATTGTTAATGCTATGCATTTATTCATACAGTTAGACTATTTAATTATTATTTTCTTTATTACTTTGGGGTTGGTTTAATTAGTTTGTTTTTGACAATATTAAGTTATCTACGTTGTATATATTATATATACATTTGGATTTTTCTTAGTGGTGTTGTACAAGATTATTAGCTTTCGATTTTAAGTAACACAGTAATAAATGTTTTGTATCCGAAATCTGAGATAAATTCTGGTATTTATTTAGTAATCTGTGTTAGTCTGCGAAGCTGGTTATAGCTATTTTAAATTCAGAGTTATTGCTGTAGGCTGGTGCTGTTTTCCTTAATTTCCGTGATACGAGTATATCAATGTCTTTATGTTCCCATTTAGGTTTAGAGTGACGTGTATTTACTGATGTTAAAATATATTGTGTGTGCGTGTTTTCTGTTTCCTGGGTCCTTCAGTCATTCCGGTGTATATTTTTGTTCATTATCTGTTGTTTTTACAGTGGTTTATCATATTATATTGCATTGCATGCACTTGCTGTTTGATGGGCATTCATGTTTTGCACTGCAGTTACAAGTGGTTTTGCTTGGCGTTGGTGATTTGTTGGGATTTTGAGCTTTTTTTTTTTTTATCTGTGTCATGTTTTCGGTACAATTGTTCTTGGTTGTTAGCGTGTTTTTATTGAATATCTAGTGGGGAGGGATTGATAGAGTCTAGTATTTGTGAATGAGTTTAATGAATATTTTTCCTACGTTTGTTTTTTACGTTTTATTGTACATTGGGTTAAACATGATTTTTTTTCTGTTGCCACTTTCGTGCTGTGTGGTATGTGTGCGTTTTGCTGAATATTCGCTATCATCTAGAGTTGTCTCAAAATCTTTTTGACCTTGTTAATGATGACATCATTAGAAGAATTGTCAGTTAACCTACGGTTAATTGCTTAAAGTATATGCTTGATTATTGTTGGTAGGTGGTTACATATGTGTATGTAAAGTGGTATGTCGTTGGATTTTCTTTATGGCGTATTTATACTGTTTCTGATGTTGAATCTGACGTCTTAAAAATTTACCTCTTTTAGGTCAGTTTTTATGTCTATGTCAAATCCTATATTTGAAGAATTTTGTGTCTTTTTTTTTCTTTTTATCTGTTACAGTTATTAGGATTAGTAGACCTGGTAATCCCTGTACAGACATATCTGTCTTATAAACTCGAACGTTCCTTCTGTACTTTTCTTTTTGCCAAGTAAGTTCAATGGCGAATAATGTATATATATATATATATATATATATATATATATATGTGTGTGTGTGTGTGTGTGTGTGTGTGTGTGTGTGTGTGTGTGTGTGCATGTGAGAGAGACAAATTCGTTCACACCCTAAAAGAAAAAGTCATTAATTCTACCAAAGTATTCATGTTTGAGGCACTGAACTTGTAATATATATATATATATATATATATATATATATATATATATATATATATATATATATATATATATAGGGGTGAATAAGTTACTAATTTTTATTCAAAATGAAAATGACACAAACGTTTCATTTTAACAGATATATTTACCAAAATTAAACAAAAATATCTTCAAATACTAAAGAGTAAATTTATTCAATAAAATCGCCATTGACTTCAATCACGGCCTCCAGACGACTTTGGAATCTCCTGCAAATCCTCTGGACGTTCTCCTAGTTAAAGTTGGTGAATGCTGCCATAATCCTGGCCTTCAGTTCATCTTTGGTGTTACAATGAGTTTTGTTTGCCTCTCACCCAACTGCTCGTCACACATAATAACCAAGGGATTTGCAGTCTGGGAAGTTAAGTGACTCAGATATAAGAGGTGATGTGTTCGAAGAATTTGTCTGACTGCCATGATTTTCTCCTGGTTATGTGGCATGTTTCAGAATCCTGTTTCCAGATATAGGGTCTTCTAGCAGCCACCCTCTTGAACCAGAGTAGAACTACATCCTTAAGGCACTTGATGTACGCCTCCGCGTTGAGTTTGAGCCTTGTGGGTAGATGAATGGAGGCATAGACTCACTCACCCAACTCTTAACGAATCTTCTGCACTGTCCTCAGATTGACGCCCAAACACTCTGAAATGTTCGTATTAGATCTTCCGCTGCGAATGCCAAGCACTACAGCATGCCGTTTCCAAATGTCTGGTGGAGTGAATTGCATTATGTTGGTCTTCTTCTCACAGCAGTGCCGAAGTGAACCTGTGTCGTCGACAAAGTAAAAAAAAAAAAAAAAAAAGCGCATGTGCGAAATTAAAAATACAAAATGGCGACAATTTAGCCATTGTACCCTGTAAATAATATATATATATATATATATATATATATATATATATATATATTTTGTTTGAGGAGCAATTCATGAGCTTCTTTTTTTTTTCAAATTTAAAAATGCACTTAGAAATAATACGCATTAGCAAAATGTTTTGTTATTTGAAAGAGAATGTCTTGCTCTATAAGACAATGCGTTTTGAGTTTTTAATTTTATTGATTTTTGTGTATTTTCAGCTCATTAAAATGGAATGCCAAAAGGGTAAAACTGAGCATTTTCGAAACCATTTGCTTTTTGTCTTTAATCGGGGTAAGATTGCCGAAGCAGTTCGTGTGATTTGTGCTGTGGATGGAGGAGCAATGCTTCAAAGTACTGCCGTTGGTTTTCGCGTTTCAAAAATGGGAATTTTGTCCTCAAGAACGGATCACACACTAGTCGACCAACTGAGTTTGGTAAAAAGCGATTGAATCAACCTGTTCACGAAAACGTCATAAGACCAGAGAATTAATGGTGCAGATGAACTGTGATCAAAAAACAGTGGTGAACTACCTTCACTCAATGGGGGGAAGGTTCAGAAACTCGGCAGTTGGGTGCCTCACACTTTAAACGAAAACAACAAAAATGAAATCACCACAATCGCTGTCAGTCTGCTCGCTCGATATCACTCAACACATGGTCTCAAACAATGTTTTCTTTACCGCATTGTCATTGATGATGAAAAATGATTACTTCACGTCAATATGAAGCAGCGAAAAGAATAGCTTAGCCCCCAAAATCAAGCGATTCCCCGAGCAAAACAAGACCTTCATTCTCGAAAGACGATGTTGTGTGTATGGTGGGACTGGGAAGGTATAATTCTTTACGATCTGCTTGAGAGAAACTAAGCACTCAATTCGGAGCTCTACGTTCAACAACTGCATCGACTCAACGAAGTAATTCAGCAAAAAAAGACCGAACAGAACTTCTGCAACACGACAACGCCCGTCCTCACATTGACAATCGGACCAAAGCCGCGATTCAAGAACTCGAATGGAAAATGCTGCCCCATCCTAAATACTCTCCAGGCTTGGCACCGTTAGATTTTCATCTCCTCTGATCGCTTTCTAACACTTTGAGTGTTGCATCGTTCAGTAATGACGTGGAATTGAGGGCTTAGTTTGACGAATTCTTTGAGTCAAGGCCGGAAAATTTATATCGCTGAGGCATTGAAAAACTTATTGAACGATGAGAAAAAGTCGTAAATAACAACGAAGAGTTTGTTATTGATTAATTTGTTGTAGATTTTTGTTTAAGATAAAGTTGAAATACACGCTCATGAATTATTCCTCAACCCAATATATATATAGATAGATAGATAGATAGATAGATAGACACACACACACACACACACATACATACATATATATATATATATATATATATATATATATATATATTGAACAGAATTTTTCTACCCGTGACGATTTATTTTTAGTGTGTGGCAAGGATTTAAGGTGTGCCCAAATAAATAAAACTTCTTTTTCTTTCTCCTGTCACTTTTAATTCTAGTTTCCCAGTAATCAAAAGTCAGGATGAGACAATTCCAACATTATAGTTCTATCCAATGCTTTACTTCCAGGAATGTGGCTCTTGTAACCATATGACTGTTTTATATTGCAAGTTGTAGCAAGATTACTTTTGTGTTATAGGTTTCTTTATTCTAATTTCAATCCAGACCAAGAACTGCTGAAATTTTGTGAAGATTGTCTACGTTTTTCTCAAATGAAGATTATCAAAAGAAGACAATGCCTTAGCAACGTATATAAATACACTGTTCAATATACACAATGGGTTTTGACAGAGTAATCTTACTTCTAATTTTAAATACTACTTTTTTAGGAGCATATATCAAGGCAGTCTTGAAATTCAAAATGTTTGTATTGATTGGAAATATCTACGTTCTCGAATTAGAAATAAACAATTCTAATAGAAAGTATAATAAATAATCTTT